TTTTGAAAAAAGTGTCTTTACAACCATTTCATCCACGTAATATTCTACTTTATTGCCAATTAAATCGGAAAGAACAGAATTGACTAAGCGYTGGAAGGTCGCCCTAGCATTTTTTAAACCAAAAGGCATGACCTTGTAGCAGTAAAGTCCTGTTTCAACAATAAAGCTAGTCTTCTCTTGGTCCTCCATATCCATTAGGATCTGGTTATAGTCTGAGTAGGCATCCATAAAACTCAGTAGCTCAAATCCTGATGTCACATCCACCAGGCGATCTATGCTAAGTAAGGGGAAGTTGTCCTTTGGGCAAGCTCGTTTCAGGTCTGTAAAGTCTATGCACATCCACCACTTTCCGTTCGCCTTCTTTACTAAAACTGGATTTGCTATCCAGCTCAGGTACTGGACTTCCTTTATGAAGTCCACTGCTAGCAGCTTCCCCACTTCCTCATCCACTATGTTCCACCTTTTTGGGGCGAGTTTTCTCTTCCTCTACCGGACGGGTCTAACTATAGGGTCAACGTTAAGTTTATGAGTTATCAAACTAGGGTCTATACCAGGCATTTCAGCTGCTAACCAAGTGAAAATATCTAAATTATTTATTAAGAAGCTTACCATTTCAGATCACAAAGGTTCTTTCAGGCGAGCTCCAATCTGGACCGTTTTCTCAAGTTCACCTCTGGAGACTTGTACTGCAACAGTTTCTTCAGTGGGGTGAGCTCTTTCTTCAGTGTTTTCTAGTGGTGGTTCTAGGTCGAATATCAACTGTCATCTTGCCCTTGGCTTTCAGTGATGCTACATAACACTTCCTGGACTCCAGCTGGTCTCCCCATAGTACTCCTATCCCTATGTCCGTTAGGGATTTCAGCGCGAGGTGGTATGTGGAGACCACAGCTCACAGCGCATGCAAGATTGGTCGTCCCACCAGGAAATCATGTTCGAAGCACGCTGTGTGGGGTGGCGAGCTTGCCTCAACCGGCACTCTTACTTTGCCAATTGGGCAAACTACCTCACCGCTGAATCCCACCAGTGGTGTGTTAGCGGGTTGCAGGTTGGCTTTACTAAGTTCCATTCTCTAGAAAGCTTCTGCGAATAGGATATCTTCCGAGTTGTCTGAGTCCACTAAAATTCACTTTACTCTAAAGTCATTTAGTAGCTTTACTACTAACGTGTCGTCATGGGGGTACTGTACCCCTTGCATATCATCCTCTGTAGGATTCCAAAGTTGGTGCTCGGAAGTTCTTCGAACGTGGTGCTTTAAGAATCTCAAGTGCTAACGGGGTTTCTTGATTCAGTCATGGTGTGCACACCATGACCGAATCTACTCAGTCATGGTGTGCACACACCGTACTAAGTCGTTGAACCATTGCACATCTACTGTTGTCGGGGGTACCATAGGATCCACAACTGGAGGTGGGGGTGGCATGTTCGCATTGTCATGTACKCCGGCTAGTGGCAAAGGCATCGATTTAGCCTATCGTGATAGTTGGGACTTGGTCGTTGACGTGATTGTTGGCAGAAGGATTGTTTGAGGATGCCATCAAGAGTGGTTTTTTCAAAGAAGAAATGAAAGAAAGGGAACACTAGCTTTTCGTTGCGTTTCCCACAGAAGGAGCCAACTGATGATGCACTATCTACTCACTCCCTCGTGCCAGTGACTGGGCCTGAACCAAGTTCTAATCTGGCAATGCCGAGCTATACTGTTTAGCTGGTAACTGTAAGTCCGAGCTGAGAATGACTACAAAAGGGGAAGAGTTAGAGTGCCTGGGTAGGTTTTACCTAGGAAGGCACTCCAATGCTTAAGTTAGTAAGGGGATTCCAATGAGAATATGTGAGAGAGTTCAAGACCTTCTGTACGCATACCTTTCAAAGTGATCCTGGGGTCTTTTATATCTATCTGAGGTTTAGGTGCCATCAGGAAACGTCTCTGAGTCTTCTGCAGAGCTATTTCCATAGTTTGGGGTGTGCTGGACCGTTAGTTGCTAGATTCGCACAACGGTTATAGGTCGCCCGCGGATCTTGTGGCGAGCAGTTCGGCGAGCTATTTCTATGGTCGCGGTAACATTGTTCATGAGGGTGTGGTATTCAAAACGGTTTTGGCTGAGCTGGTGTTGTTGGCRGACCGAGCTCGCCCTAGCTCGGCTGCACACCTAATGTCGGTTGCCATGTGTTGGTTTTTCGAGCTGTCTTGTTGAGTTGGATGCTGTGTTGCCAGGAGCGTCCATATGTCAGTAGTTGCGTGGGGTGACCAAAATGCCCCTCATCAAATGTTATTTAAAAACAAAAAATCCTTGTCATTTACCATGTTCGAGCCTTCAAGGATCTTCGGATGTACGAGCCTTCGAGGATCTTCGATGTTATTTTGCCAGTTCTATTTGTCATGGCCTTGTTCACAAGATGTTGGTGAAGAAGACCAGAAGAGCGGTGAGTGGAATAGGATAATCTTTGTAGATTCTACCATGTATTTTGGATTTCCTAAGATGGAAGTTACAGGGGGCTAAACCTTCTGAAATTCTATGGCCTTGATTGATATTATTCCTACCCCTTTCCTCTTTTGTTTGTATTTTGTTCTGATTCATGCAAATTTGTTTTCCCTAAGACTGTGTTTGGTTTGAAGKRAAAAGTAAGGAAAAGAAGGAAAAGGTAGGGAAACCTATACAAGTTTCCCCATTTCTACTTTTTTGATACAGTTATTGGGGCAATGTTTAGTGGAAGGAACAATTCATATAGGAAACCCAAGTTTATTCTCAATAGTTCAGCAGAGAGAAGGTCCTCTAGGAGCAGTAATCTAACTTATCCAAATATAAATCTGACCTTATACGTACAGTTGGAATCATTTGATTTTGCTGATTGTATTCCTATTGTTTAGAGTGGAACCTGTTTGCTGCCTTGTTGGTGGGTCCTGATTTTCTTTAACAAATGGCAGCTTTGGCCTTAGGAGGGGGGGGGGTACCTTATGAACCTAGGGAACCAACTTATGATATTTGTGTTTGATGGAATTACTACAGATAAGCTATATATATCCTTAATATATAGGAGTTTTAATTGTGCCATGTCAGCATGACAGGTGGCATGTTCAAATACTATTAAGCCATATCATCCCAAAAATAAGTACTGTATTGTCAAAATGGAGTTTACATGGATCATTCATTAATATAGAATGAATCCAACCATTATGCAAAATTTTCTCGGCAACCAAACACTGAAAAGCAGATTCTGTAGGATAATTGGTCTCAACAACCAAGCACAAGTAAAAGGACTGAGAAAATAAATTTTCACTTCTCACTGCCACGTAAGCTTACATTAATTCAATGTAAGCATTTTAACTTCTGTTTGGTTGGGTTGCCAAAAAACTTGTGAACTGGTGTATAATAACCTTACAGCAAATAATTGTTTATGTCAGCCTTGTCAAGTGAAACTTTTTTTTCTTCTGGGTTCAGAAATAATTTTTCTGAATTAAACTAAAATTCTTGTTTTTTTTTCTGATGTGGCATTTCTTGAAAACAAGTAAAACAGAAAATATCAGGTTGGAAAACACCCCCTAAGTCATGCTCAGCTTACCATGAACCAAATAACAAATTTGGGCAATAATAGAATCCCAAGCTTCCTTACCCCCCCCCCCCCCAAAAAAAATAAAAAAATAAAAAACAAAAACAAAAACAAAAAAACAAAATCCTTACCCCAAAAAACGTAGCAGTCAAAATGAAAATTGTGCAAATTGGTGCCTTGAATTTGATCAACTGGTGTGTTCAAAATTCAATGAGTCAAATGTTGAATCGTTTCTTTGTGTTAAGGTTCAACAATTCTGAGTTATAAGTTAACAATTGAGCAAGTGGATAGAAGCCTGAAAACCATGAATTGTGCATTGCATTTGGTTTATGCATTCCAAATGTTGAAAATAGAAATGAAATTTACGTTTCCTTTGTTTGCGGTGCAAATCCGAACAAGACATTAACTTTGCACCTGGTTTAGTTTTCCATCCCAAAAACTGGTGCTGCAAATTTTGCACCACCTTCCCCTTAAATCATCTTTCTCATATAAAGTGGAAACCATGTCATCTTCCATATTACCTCCGGAGCAAATGACTGTCCAACCTCCATTCTCTTTCATACAAGATGGAGACATGCAAGATTATTTTACTTCCCACAAACAAATAAAACAAAATCAAATATGAAGAAAAAATAAATCAGAATTTACACAGCCTACTTGGCATGCATTTAGACCTTGCACTGCAAACAAACTGAGCCTTGCAATTTTCAACCCACTATTGACCCAGTTGATCAAACCGTTTGAATCATCACCTAGCTAAGATTTCAGGTCCGGTTCAGTCAAGACCTGTTAGATGGTCAAACAAATTGACTTAGTCAAAAACTGTTCAACCCAACCTGTTTGAATGTTGACCCATTCGACCCGGTGACCAGGTCACGGGTTACACACTCAATGCATGCAAATTTTTAGAGGCCATAAATTTTGGGTAACTTTTCAATATGTATGCGTCCCAAGGCACCACAAGTGCCTTTCCCACTATTTTCGCAAAAAAAAAAAAAACCTTTTTGGCCTCAAATTGCAATTTTCAATATTTTCTATAAAATATTAAAAAAATAAATTAAATTAAATAAAAAATAATGCATATAACATATCTAAAACATATTTATACATTATTTATTACTAAAATATATATTTATACACAAGCATATACATATATACACAAATATATATATATATATATATATATATATATATATATATATACACACACACGATAACATGGCACGGTCTGAACCATTCGACCAAGCTAGTCGCACCGGTAACCTGCAACACAGAGGCAATAATGGTTCGGCCTCCGGGTCGGTTTTTAAAACATTATTAGACTGGCCATAGAAGGATTTTTTTCAATACTCGGAATCAAATAGTCACGAGTCGTCCAATCAAATTCATTCTTGATTAGAGCTAAAGCCTATTGAAGGGGTGAGATTGATACAGGCTCTTGGGAACGGTTAGTTGCATCAGAGGTAATGCCGGTCTTACAATTTATAACATATTCGATTAAATAATGTCACTTGAAGATATAATTCTTTGGTTATTAAACAGATTCCAGATCCAGACTACATGATATTTACATGAATAAAAGAGTTCTTGCCTCTGCACATTTTAAGACAGAACACATACAGAAAAACATCCGTCTCAACCTCACCATATGTGTCGGATAGAATACCAATCAATATGGATATCTTCTGTGAAGATGTAATTCTTGCAGGTTCTCAAGCTAGGAGCAGTGTTCCATAATGACAACAACAAAAGACAAGCCAGACACATCACTAGCAACATTCTCAAAACCTGTATGCCGTACAAAAATGTTAGCATAGCTTCTAAATCCAATGTGTTATATAAGTTATATGCATATTTAGCAGAACTATTGAATGGAAGACTATCAATGAAGTTTCCCAAAATTTTCAAGATTCACTAACCTGAAATTCCTGGTTGAGTAAGTGCAGACATCCAAATTTTAATAAGAAAAATCATGTGGTCAGAGAAAAGGAGACAATTGAATGCATGGAATTACACATTTTCAAATAATGCAAAACAATACGAAGACCCAACAGATGGTACCTTTCTCCTTAAAATGGAATCATATGCGCGTTTTACATTTTTATCACTATGTGATCCTTTCATCTACTTGAGGGAATCCTAGAGTTAAAACATCTTGGTTCAGCATGAAATTCAAGAGCAAGTCAAAATTTACATAAGCAAGCTTTCCATTATATTGGTCTAAGTAGTTTTCCTTCTGCTTGTGTAATGGTGATCATTATTCCACTTTACAACTAATCAAGAGAGTATAAAAAGCCATGTTAATTCCATGATTTTAGTTTGCTCCTTCCCTCCAAAAGAAACTAATCAAGAGAGTATAAGAAAGCCATTATTAATTCACTGCTCATGAATGCATTTTTATCAAAATTAAAAACACAATAACAGAAATAATAATAAAAACTAGATAAATTTATTAAATCTATCTTTGGAGATCTTTGAAATTGACAAAGTATCATAAGAATCCAATAAGTCTGCAAAGTTAAAATGTTATCTTAAAATGGGGGAAAAAAGGTCAACCTAAAACCTAGAACAAGGCTTCCTCTAGCAACTCAATGTGCCCTCAAGTTAATCAAAAGGGTAGCAAACTAGGGTGTAAGAAAAAAGATCGAACCTTATCTACAACCCATCTTTTACAAGGAAGATTTCTGTCAGCATGCTCAAGGGAATAACGCAACATTTCCACTATTGCCAATTCGGTGGCAGGGTCACAGTTCCCTGCATTTGAGATTTGAAGTGTTAAACTTATCTAGATTTTCACAGTTTACATGTTAACATTCCAGCCACAAAAAGATTTAATAAATTCAGATGAAGCACCTGGGATGTCAAAGATTTGTTTATCTGGGGGAATACCCAGCAACTCTCCCAACTTGATGCGAACAAGAGCACGTTGATAAATCGTAAGTAAATCACCATGTGTGACGACAACAACAGGCTTGTCATCTGCAACATGAGGTGAATTAATTACTAGAATCATGAATTAGTTATATATAGACTAAACAATAATAAACGAGTAAAGAGTGAAAAAATAAACTAAGAAAAAATATACATGGCAGGACTATCAAAATTGACTTTGAATAATGCCACATGGCTACAAAATTTACATTCATAAACGACAAGAGACATTGGCAAATATCCAAAAGAAATGTGGTATGCAAACAAGTTTACATCCCAAACTCCTATTACCACAGTAGTCAAATTCCCTTTTCTTCTTTTAGTAGTGTAATAGACACGTCTGATCACCTAGGCACTTAGGCAATGGCCTAATAACATAAGGACCTCTAGGTTGTCAAGAACTTGGAGTTTGTCCCAGCTATATAGGATCTTGGGTATTGTACATGGACTGGATACAATCATAACCTCCAACATTTTTAGAATTAAGTGGCCACTCTTAGACTCAAATCCACAGTCTCATTCTTATCAACCCATTTTACCATTACACCAAGCAATGACCCCCTTATGCTCTTATTCTACATCAGTTCAATATTTTTAAATTTTAATTTCTGATACTTTTATCAGATGAATATAACATATAGTACAATTATTATCCTAGTTCTATGAAATTATACATTTTAAGATGAAGAATGGAACTAATTAACCTATTAATCAAATTACACAAAAACCAAGCAAAAACGGAACCAACTGACCAATCACTGAACTAGACAGTGACAGTCACTAGAAACATCGTAGAAACAAGTAATTGTGTAGCTGCCTAGGCTATAGATTTCTTTTCACGAAATGAACATGAATTACGAAGAGAATTATGATTTTTTTGGGCCTGTGAAAAGTAGCAACCCAAAAAGGATGGATTTTAAGTTCAACTATGTCAGTGGCAGAGATAAAGGCTTAGGTACAGTAAGAAATAGGGATTTCAGCAACACGTATTGGTGCATGTAAACGATATTATTACCACAACCAATCAAAAGTGAATCTGATATTGAGAATAAAAATCTTATTGGCAACCTTTAACATAAAGAAGTCTTACACCCAATTATTCCAGTCAAATTTGATGTTCCATTACATAAAAGGACTAAAGGAGACCTCTGTTTCATCTTATCAAATCTAAATCTTTCAGTCATCAATCTCCAGTGATCAAATTTCAGTTTTTAGGAAAAGATCTTATGCAAGACCAATATAAGATCAAGTACTACCACTGGAGGGGTATTTGAATCCATAAAGTCTGACATTAATACAAATTGAACATGATGGGTTTAGAGACCTTAACCCAAAATGTAATGTAAAAGAAACAAGAAATAGTTCAAATAATAAAGACACAATAAATATATAGCAGATTGACAATAAGATGAATAATCCACCAATTTTTTCAATCAGTATGAAATACATGGAAAGTCTTAATATAATAGAGACTATATTAATTTAGGAAGGAAACAGAACAAAATCAAAATTTTAACATGTGCAGAAGCTAAGACCTTTGAACGAGAGGTATGGGCAGCTGAAAGAATTAGCAAGGATGTCCTTGTAACTTTTATGGTCATGATCATTTCCTGTAGATTGTAGAACTGATAATGCATTGACAACAAATATAACAAAGTCAACCCTCCTCACCACACTGGAGTAGCACCCAATCTGCTGTGCTTTACACATCATACTCTTTCTCACACTTGAATCATCAAAACACCTGTTTCAAAAACAGTATAAATAATAGAGTTCAATATCAAGAAATACTTGGGGTCCATCTGCTAATAGCTGAAGTGACTCAACTGACGCAGTTATTGCTTTGTATTTTAGTCAATAAGCCATTAGGTTTTAAGATGACACAGTTATTGCTTTGTCTTTATTCAATAAGCCATTAGGTTTTAAGCTGACACAGTTATTGCTTTGTCTTTTAGTCAATAAGCAATTAGGTTTTGAGCTCCTTAATGGATGAATGGAATGTTGGGTTCATAACTATAACCTTAGAGATTTTACTATATGACTATATTATCCACTAAAAAACAAAGGAATAAGCTGTTCGGTTCAGCCACTTCAGCCATTATATAATAGCTCATTTCATTTACATAAAAAACCCTTTATGGAGATAATTTATAAGACCTGGTAACCAGTTCTCCATGCCGAACACCTTTTGTCATCMAATTCTTTATCATTTCAAAGTTCTCAGATGAGTTTTCCGACAAACTGCGTGTGTCATACAGACAAAAGGAAGTAGAACCTCTTGGAATCATATATTCTTGGAGAAAGTAGGTCCCCTCTCCAACAGGTGAATTATCTGTACAAGGATAACCAGTGAATATTCCAAGTTGAAAGAAGTTTTAGAACATCTATAGAATCACTCGTACAAGTTAAATGTCAGGGGAAATGTGTTCTTCAAACTCAAAATAAATCTTGTTTAAAATTGGCATGTAAAGTACAATGATACTCACATGATATCTGGGCTCTTAATGGTGCAAATTTGTCATTTTCAAAGACCTTTGAAATTCTATTTACAAGACTGCTTTTCCCAGATCCTCCAGGACCAACCAATAGGAGTGTTGTTGTCTTTGGTAATTCATAATCACTAATCTTCATACCACCTACCTCTTCAATCCACAAGCCAGGAGTATAACTGTATAAATTAAAACACAACATGAAGTCCATGAAATTTCAATTTCAAATTTTTAATAATCTAAAAAACAATTTATTTCATAGATTGCTACCACAAGTACTGTTTTCCATCTTGAAGTAGGCAATTTATTAGACAGCAGGGTATCTAACAGCATCAATTCTAAACATTCACAAGTCATTAACACTAAATAGTTCAAGTAGATCATGGCTAATTTTAGAACATATAGAAATAAGCAACTAGTTCTGTCATTCACAAGTTAATAGGCACAGTATGGGCTAGTAGCATAACTTTAGGATCAGAGTTAATAGATGACAGGCCAAATAGATGCTAGTCAAAGAAGAGAAGATAATTTGGAAGAAAAATAAAAATTCTGAGCAGAGATTTTATTAACATATGATAAGGAAGGTAGCCATAAAATTGATGATTAAAAGAAGGTAAAAGATATAACCCCCTTTCAACCAATAATAATCAGCAATGGGACCTCTCTTCAACAAGAGATGGATAGAATCAACCACCAAAATCATGATGCCAGAAACCAAATGTCATAGCACAAAAGCACTAAACCTTTACAGTTTGTAGTTTACTGGCCAAAACTTTTGTCCCGCATGTATATCTGCCTAAAAATTATTTAAAGGCCTAAATTTTCATTTTAATTGTTAAAATAGCTTAAGACTATATTTGGTCCTAAATTTAACTTTTTACAAAGATTGCTCCTTCTTAAACTTAAATTAGTACTAAAATTTAATAAAAGTAAAACAGGAATACTCCAAGATTCTAGAAACAAGGAAGTAGAAAGAAATTAAAACTACTAAATTGACCAACATCTTTACTATGTAATACTTCTACTAGCCTAGCCTTCAAATCCAATCCATAAGATTTAAATCAGAACATTTTAATTGTATTATATCATATAATGTGAAGATATTTAAAGAACAGTAAAGAAATTTCAAAATATTAATGTATTTTTAGCTTTTTATGCTTTTATCTTGCACACATGCATGGAACATGCCTTACACTCATATACACACACAGACAAACCAAAGAAAAAGAAAAAAAAAAACTTGTATACATGTTTCTAGAAGTTAAGTTACAGGTCTGCCACTTATTAAATTTCTGTTAACAAGTAAACCTGAAGCTTGGATTAGGTTAACCATCATAAAGGCATTATGATGGAATAAAGTAATGCCTTACAATGCTATCATGTCCTAATACACTTGTAGCAATGTAAAAAAGTCCTAATATTATGGCATCACATGACCACAACACATAACTAATTAAAAATTGCATAGGCATCCTGAAATTTCTTTGTAATATGCAGATAACACAAATGCAAACAATGAGAAGGAAATCTCCTTGTAACTTGTAGTAAATTTGAAGACAAAAAAGGCCCATGAAATAAATGAGTATGCCACTATTATTCTTCAACATACAGGGGATGGACATGAACAGAGGAGATATCATCCAACATATTAACACTGCATTTCCAATGTTAAATCATTATGACACAACATAATTTTTTGCAATTCTCATAGTATCCAAATTTAAAGATAACCCATCAATTACATATAATTCAAAATAATGATCAGTAAGAAGAATATTCAAAGCTGAATAGGAAGATAGGAAATGGTCTTCCAAATAAGGAACCCAATCCATTGAAACACTCGAACTCCTAAACCAAAAGTTGACTGGATAATCTTGACCATTCGGTCTTTTATAGTAGTAGTAGTTCAGGGCAAAGATATTATATTACAGATATTAGCAACTTAACAAGAAAACCTGTTCGAAATATCCATAAATCCAAAGTAACAATTTAGTTAC